AAACACCCAACATTTATAATTTCAACAGCTTGTCATAATCTGTCATTTCTGAACTGCACAAGTTTTTACAGTATCCTTCATTACTTTCTATGCAATTTATGGTACATTTTGGTACACGTATATTATTGGAAACCTTTGGGTGTAGTAAAAGTGTTCACTACGCTGAGGAGTGGTGGGTTTCTAGGTTGTATGATGCACAGGCTGAGGTACCAGTGCTGGTGGCAGTTCATGGGAACAATGGCAAATTTTGTTACTCATTGTAGTAGTTATGACCATTGTTTTGATATGTGCTCAAGTCATGTTACAGTTCAGTAGTCTCTTGGACTGACTCTGACTTGACTCTGTATCCACTTGCATTGATATTTGTTAAGAATAATGTCAATGATTACAAGTAATTAATATTTTGTGGGAATCATTAATATTTTTTCTGTCATTTGCAGCTATTTTTCAGAGTAGAGATGCACAGAGGAATGGTTGGGCCAATTTCCAGTATGATGATGTAAGTACCTGTTGGCTTTATTTTTAGTTACATCACAAGAATTAGTGGAACACAGTAATTTAGAGTATCCTCTGTCAAGTGGTACATATGTGGTACATGTAGTTATGCATTACATTATGCTGGGTTTTAAATTTTTAGTGGGATAAAGATACATGTACACACATGCACTGATCATTTTTTCATTCACAGTTATTGTGCCACTGTCAATCAATCTTTGTTAGGGATACAGCACTTTTATTGTTGGAATAATGTACAGTGGAACGTCGCTGTATCGAACACCGCTGTACCGAACACAGCATGGATAGATGGATAGTGGTATGAACCTGTGCTAGTACTGTAGGGTCTAGCAGTCGTGATCAAGGACTCAAGTTAGCTTGAAGATGATATCACAGTTGTCTGTACAACTACATGCATTTGTGTGAGAAATATTTTACTGGCTGTCCTAGGTGTGACTGAAGCAGTTACATGTATGTGCCACACTTGACTGATAAGTATACGTACAGGTATTATAACTGAACAAGAGAACAATAAGCTATGATGTATACCTTGAATTTATCTCTAAGAAACATCCTGGATAGCTAGATCCATAAAAGTTTGCTGTTGTGATAGTTTTTAGTATAGTAATTTTTCAGTTTGCATGTCGACATTCAGATTCCATAGTAAACTTATCAAGAATACATCCACATTCACGTGCTGGAAGACATACGTGCAAACAGAATATTCTTGTCAGCACAATAACTTGAGCATTACTTTGCATGTGAACTTCAATTTTGGTTTGTGGGTTGCTCTTGGTATTTAGGACACCCAAGTTACATTTGAGGGTAGAAGGCCAAAGGTCAAGGTTGCAGTGGCTAAAACAGTAGAAAGTTTGTCAGCACGATGTGAGAAAGACTTGGTTTAGGAATTTCAGATTTGGCTTGTGCATTGTTTTTGGTAATCCCACAAGTCTATTGCATTTAAGCCTGCCAGGTCAAGGGTAAAGGTCATGATGGTGAGAACAAATAAAAGCAAATCTTGTTCGTGATCTGAAAATTAAAGTTGTGGGTTTAGGCATGGCCTGAGCTTAGGGAGACATCTGTGTATGTTCATGTGTGGGTAGGCTATCAGGCAGTATTGGTACCAGTGAAACCCAAATTGACACCATTCAATAAATAGGCCTACATGTACATGTATACCATGTCTGTGTCTTGGCTTGCTTAGAGACCTAGACAGTAATGCACGTATAAAATGTATTCTCAAAAGTTTGTCCTTTTTCAACCAAAAATAAACAACTACAGGTGTAATAAAGTACATTGTTACAAAAACAGCAGCTGAATGTTTACAGTTTATTTAAATTTAAATACACATGTAAAAAAATACACCTGTGTCATGTGAACATTTAGGGGTCGTTCACAATTATCAACATTTTCACGAGCGTACAAAATGTACGTAGGGGAAGGGTAAACGCCGTACACTTTCAGAATGTTGAATAATATCGATTTTGTTCCCATTCCTGGCACTACTGCTGTCTTGATTTGGGTCTGCCATAGGCCTTACACTGCGTGCGGGCGCGTTGCATGCACCACGTGCATGGCCTGCAGAACACAAAGCAAATTGCATGCGTGTCGCATTGAGATACTACTCTACATATCCTTATTTCTTTTTGAAAAGATTTTTTCACAGATTCACAGGAAAATCGGATCAGCAAGGAGAAAATAAGTTTCTTGCAACGGTTAAGTTTTTACTTTAAAATACCTACCTCTGTATAAGTATGCAGAAAAAACATCAAAATTTTCTTTGTACACTTACAGGGGGGTCTCATAAAAGTGTACGCTTTGTACACTTGTGAAAATGTTGATAATTGTGAATGACCGCTTTATAGATTGCCAGCTGTGTATTATATCACAAGACCACACAAATTGATAACCTCATCAGCACACTAGCTGTGTAAAAAAACTGTTCATTTGAGCAAGTCTTACATGTGTGTGTGCCCGTGAGCAAGGCACTTTGTCACTTGTTGCTTCTCTCCACCTAGGAGTAATTGGGGGCTTGTGAGGGCAGTTAATGTGATTGATTTAGTTCCTTTGCGCTGAAATGACAGAATCAAGCTGCATACTCCTTAGGGAGCTGAGATGGTATTTGGAATGTTTAATTGGCCCAGTGAGCAGGGGTAATAATAATGGAAAAGTGCCAAGGAACTTAATTGTAGGCCTATTAGACGCTTAAGAAATGCAGTTATTGTTATGTACTTTATATATAAAAGGGTCAGTTCTGCAAACAAATTTTTTTAACGATAAGACATTTATTTCTGGTTTCTTGTGATCATTTATACCATTATGTAATTATGCACAGTAATTACTACTGTACAGGTATTCTGTTGCCTGCCCTACATCTTATCATTTTTCTTTTATGTTTCCTTTGCAGTTCATCCGTTGTACAATGAGTATTTAGAGGTCAGGACGTGCGCTGATAGTCAACCAATGGCTGATGTCCAGATATTTCTAAGATAGCAATGGAATAACAAGGTTCCTCTATATTACATACACTTAGAACTTTTCATTGTAGATTTGTAGTGCGTATTATAACTGTTTTTCCCTGGTACTTTGCTTAGGATCAACATCCTGTAAAGCTTGTATTTGTGCACGATATTATTCTCTTTAAACAGTTACCAATCAAAAGAAATACAATTACCAGTAAACGAACCATGTATGTAAATACTGTGATGTTCACATAGAGATTTTAAACATACATGTAATACAAGTGGTCTTTTATTAACAATTTTGGTACTTTAAAGACGTGCCCAAAATCTATTGACGATGAAACTCATTAAAATGTAATGCCGAATACTTGCACAGTTCGTGCCATTTGCCTTTTCCCCTTCCCACAACAGTTAAAATTAGACTCTCCATGTGTCGTAATGTCACCCATATGTGCTAATTTGGTTTCAATCAAGATATATGTAAAAAGTGTTGAACAAGTCCCTTAGTTTTGTGACTGAAATCAAGGTATAAGCCGAAGGTCCAGTTGAGTCAAAGTGTCAGTTTGAGTCCATTACAAGTTTATATTTTGAGTCTATTTCAAACACAAATATTTGAGTACAGTCTGTTGTGTAATTCCAGAAATTAGGGGTCCATTTTTGTGTGTGTCCCTGTCACATCTAACATATGATTTTGTACACATTTCCTGATTTCCAAGAGTGATGAACTAATGCAAATTACCTGCCAAACAAATAGTAATAGTTTGAAATCAATTCCGATGATATTTCCATGTCAAATAGCAAAGGTCAGATGTAACAGGGACACAAAAATGTCACACTTTTAAACCCCTAATTTCTGGAATTACCCTAATACCAGAGACAGCCACTGGGTTGGAATTCAGCAGTTATTCACTGGTAGAATAAAACATGGAACACACAAAGCAACATTCTATGAATGAGCCATTCTCAGTTACATGTGTGACAAAAAGTTTGAAAATCCTATGATCGACATCCTTCCGTGGCCTCTTAAAATGGCCCATGTATTTCCATTATGTCAGTTTGAATCTGCTGTTCTCAGTTGACCCAAAGTGATAAAAAATTACAAAGACAATAATTAACAAATTTAAATTGGGGTTACTAGATTGATATTAATAGCATAATGGATACATACATTGGTCTGTTTGAGGGCAAGGATGTCAGTCATAGGATTTCCCATTTTTTTGTCACTCACATAACCAAGAATGGTACAAATGAAGATCAAACAAATATATGTATTACATGGTAACTACTAGATGGCTTCAACAAGTGAAACTTTAGTTTCAACTCTGGTTGGGCTTTGGTCCAGAGTTAAGTTTACAATGACTTCAAAACCACATTACAGTGTCAATCACATTTGAAGCTGTTTCTCATCACATGGAAACATGTGTCTATGTGTAATCATAGAGGAAGGACACATTGGCCAATAACCACTTTCTGCCATGCCCAGTACATGTATGTCTACAGCCAGAGTGTAGTGAGTGCTTGTACTTCGTACCATCTGTGTCACAACCATGAAACCCTTTCGCTGGTAATCTGCATCCTTAAAAACTTTATGTACTGCTGTATAGGAGATTGAATATTCATGCATATGTTGGTGCTCGGTATGATCTCATAACATCAAATTTAATGCTTGTGCAGTTGATTGTGTTGCTTGCCGTGTGCCCTTAATGTACTTGTAATGAACGCTTTCTTCTGGAGTTATTTTGGGAATAAATAGCTATGTTTTTCACAAGATTTTGTGTTTTGTTTGAATAATTTTTATTACGGCATTTGTACAAAAGTGTGTGTTACGAGATCTCATGATCACCACTTGTGATGAAATAGCACATTTTTTCCTTATTAACTTAGCTTTCCAGTAGTGGTTAACATTTTGTTGACCAGTCTTAGCCAAATTTGCTCCAAGTCGTTCAAAACTGATGTATTGGAGGGAGAAGTGTAAAATTACCACCTTTGCATGAATAATGGAACAATGTATCAAAATAAAAGAAACTTTCCTGGTCACAGCAATAATTTGTATTTAATTGCAAGCAAAGCATTGAAAGTATTGCTTGGATATTAGTGGCCCTGCTTGTCCAGCTAAGCTGCAGGCAGTAATCAGGCATTTGGGGAATATTTACTATTGTTCGTTGGACCCGGCGGTGATGATCATCAAGCACGATGAAGTGCCAGAGTTGCAACTCCCTTGTCCTTCCTCTATGGTGTAATTATGCTTAATAGTATGCTTTATGAATAGGAGGGAAGAAATTTTGCCCAATTTTTTTCAGGGACACAAATTGTATCAGTGTCATGCGTGAGTTTGAAATCAAGAATTTGAAATTGCTTTTATTCCAGAATAGAAGTTGTGCACAAGAAATGAGGGAGTTGTTGATATGGTTTCCACTGCACAGTGTTAAGAGACCAGCAGTTGATGGAAACATTAACCACTCAACATTATGATAATTTTGCACCTTAAGTCACCTCTAGTTTTTGCAAAGTTTGAGACGAGTGTAATTTTTTTGTAGTCCAGCTTGTTTCATGTCATCTGGTGAAAGATTCAAGTCATTTACCAACAGTGACTTCATTTGAGTCATTTATTTGTCAAGGTTCAAGTTGGATTGCCAAGATTTTGACTTGAGGTAAAACTCAAGCTGTGTTATTGACTGGAGAACTTTATTACAACACGGCATGTAAAAGCATCTAGTGTAGGGTAAGATTTCCAAAATTCTTGTCATTTTTAGATCGGAAAGATGTGCAAAAAAGTTTTACAGAAGTTTAGATATATTTGTTTCTGTATGTTATACTCCGAGCTATTTTGTTTGTATTTGTACATTTATATCCTAGTCTTTTTTGGGGGGCCATGTAGACATGTTGGGATGGAAACGTTTGTGTCTGTTAGCGACCACGCTTTAAGATGTAAAGCAAAAACCACATGGACCATAGGACTGAATTGGTTTTTTTTTTATTCATGAAATATAAAGTTGGAAAAATGCTATGCGCATCATGATGAGTTGTCACCCAACGTGCCAATGCATGTGTACAGTGTCTACCCACTCTTCATTAGTCCATGATACAATGAACCAAAGAGAATTTGTTATGGCACATAAACATTTTCATGTCTAGTTAGATATGGATTGATAGTAGCTCTCATTTTGGACTTTAAAAAGAATTCAACGTGTCAAAATGAAGCCCATTCAATAGTTTTACTCCAGTCGTAGCCTGCATGTTGATTTCATGTAATTCACAATTTGTAAGATTATAGGAAACTGTGCTAATACATGTATTACATACATCAAAGCGTTCTGTGTCATTAATCACACTTGTGTATGTACCAGGCCGCTTCACTCCATGAAGATGAGGGTAAACTCTCATATTTTTAAACAATCTGTGCCCTGTCAGAATGAAGGGTTTATTTCATAAGTTTTGCTTAGTAATACATTTTGTGGCATATTAAGTTTCTGCTGCAAATAGTAAAACTTTGAGCATTGTTTTGTAGCAATGTGTGATGTAGTCAGGAACTCACTCAGGCATATTGCTCAAGAGCCTTCCTTGATCCTTTGAAATCCATATCAGCTGTTGCAAGAAATCAGGGGCATGTTACCTCTATCTTTGTCCTAAGAAAACGTGGGTGGATGGGTTTAGGCATGGAGCTATATACCCATTATACATGTTTAATAGCTCCATGGTTTAGGGAATGTGAGCAAGGTACTTTGCATTTGTATGAAAGGATTTGGATGAGATCGAGACATGCTAAACTATTTATACTGCTTGTGCTCAAAGTGCTTTGTGAGAAAGGTGGTACTGTAGTCGTGCAATAATACTTTGGGGATGTTCACACTCCCTGTTGGTGGGTGTTCATCAGATAAAAGCTTTGAGCCACTGCAAAGGTACTAAATTAATAGCAATATTATCATTTTCAGATGATTCTTACTGTTTTGGTCCATGCACTTAATTTGATTTGCAATGTATATTCACAGATGTTGTGGTATGATCGTGTATAACATTTGGACTTTCTGTTGTACCTGGGCCCAATATCATACCAACTCCCCATATTGTTCAGTTACTCCATTGATCGACATGTTGAATCTTCAGTTAGATTTTTCTTTTCAATTACTAAATGTCTAAAAAGACATTAAATGTGAACCCCATAATCTGAAGTGGATTACATGACTTGTAAAGATATGTAAGCCCCCTCAAAAATATTTAAATGGACTGCTTGATTAGCAGACAAAAATATGTTTATCGAACTCATCAAAAGGTAAATGATTAATCAATATAAAAAAAATCATTGAAAATTTATGGCCATATTGTCATACTGTAGCTGAATTAACTGTAGTATTTTGTGATCATCACCAATTTGTGCTCTCATCTCTAGCACAGAAATTCTGTGTTTACCCAGTAAGCTTATAATTGTAAGTATACTATTTACAGGTAAGTCAAAGTTCCTCACTTTGAAAACAATTATTTGAAAGAAGGAAGTGTCCAAAGTGGTGATGGACTAGAATGATATTGGATACCGACTCCAGTGAATAATTCTGTGTAATGTTTGTGTTCCAGTGCTTCACCCTGTGGTTCAATAAATAAACAGAGAGAACTAACAAATATATTTGCAGACCTCTATGAGCTTTATGAAATACATATGATTATATGTATGATCAGACCAGAAGGACCTGCCCATGTGAACCACAATACAGGGTTGAAGGGCCCAAACACGAGGAACACTCCTAAACAATGATTAACCCTAATCCCCTTGGGTGTACATGTATGCAAAATCATATCAAAATTGGAGGATTGAGGACTGTTGGGGTTAAATAAGTCCAAATTTACTGAAGAAACCCCCAATAGCTATTGTGATTGTGAGTACATGTACACACATGTATAATGTGACATTTATATTTATGACATGCATTACAATCCTAAATAATAACAATTATAATTACAAGAAATCCTTAACTATATTTAGATGAACCAAAATATAACACTTCGTTGTGAACACATAGGGTATATTTGTGATTAACCTGGTAATTGGATAATTGGTTAAGGGCGATTAGGAGTCATCAACAAGGAATTTATAAAACACACTAGGACAAGTAGGAGTCATCAAGAAGGAATTTATAAAACACTCTGGGACGATTAGGAGTCAAGAAGGAATTTATAAAACACTAGGGCGATTAGGAA